AGCCTGCTTCTCCCTCTCCCACTCCCCCTGTTTGTGTTCCCTCTCTGGCTGTGTCCGTCTGTCAAATAAATAAATAAAATCTTTAAAGAAAGAAAGAGAGAGAGAGAGGGAGGAAAGAAGGGAGGGAGGGAGGGAGGGAGAGAGGGAGGAAGGAAGGAAGGAAGGAAGGAAGGAAGGAAGGAAGGAAGGAAGGAAGGAAGGAAGGAAGGGCCTTGCTCTCAAGGATGTGAGAATAGACATAAGAAACATGGAAAAAATGAAACAAGAGCTACTACTGGGAGATCCACAGAAATGGCCACATTTATCAAGCCACAAATTTCAACCCCGAAAGAGGCCCCTGGGGAGATTTGGGGAGCAGCCTGAGCTGCTTTCAGCTCCCCTTCCTGGTCACTGATAATACTTTTTTTTAAGTTTCTTTTTTTTTAAGATTTTTATTTATTTATTGACAGAGACAGAGAATGATAGAGAGAGAGCATGAGAGGGAGGAGGGTCAGAGGGAGAAGCAGACTTCCTGCTGAGCAGGGAGCCCCATGCGGGACTCAATCCTGGGACCCCAGGATCATGACCTGAGCAGAAGGCAGTTGCTTAACCAACTGAACCACCCAGGCGCCCCCATTGATAATACTTTTTCCAAACTCCTTAATATAGTCATTTCCTGCTTGGGGGTATCAAATTCTACAACTTTAGTATCCATTATGTTCATCAAAAATCTAACACAGCATCATGGTGAAGAACATGGACTCTGGAATCAAACTTCCCATGTTAAAACCCTGTTCCAAAGCTTCCTAGCTTGGGTGACCTTGGCAAGTTACTCATCCTCATAGAACCTGCATTTCCTCATCTGTGAAAGAATATTATAACCTATTTCCCAAGATTATTGTGATGATTACATTAAATAGTACTAGCACAATGGTGCCACAAAATAGTAAATACTCAGTAAATTTTAGCTCTGACTTTTCCTAAGCTTACTTAATCTTATTTGGGTTTCCAAAAAAAGCCCTCAAAGGGGATTCGGTGAGGATGTGTGGTCACTTTAGGAACACTTTATCCTTCTGTACCTCTGTTCCCCGTCACTTTCATGCCCCTCTTCAGTTCTCCTGATCTCTTCAGGGCCCTCCCCGGTACCTTGACACGGTCGCACATGGGTCCAGTGTGGCTGCCAAAAGCCTGGTACCAGAGCACGAGTATTCTTATCTTGGGTGAGGCCACTTTCCTTTCCTGTTCCTGGGCTTCCCTTCATTGCTTGGGTTCAGGCCACCTAAGTACTGAGTGTATTCATGCGTGGAAGAGTGATCACAGGAGGCTGGAGTCCCATACTCTGGGGGAAATCTAGAAATTAGGGCGCGACAAAGAAGCCTGGTAAGGTAAAGATGCAGGGGTTGCCTTAGCTAGCTTTTGCTTCAGAGGTCTAGCAGTTTAACAGGCCCTGGGAGAAGGCTGAGAGAGACGTTGTCTGAGTAAGGCCTGTTCACTTCCTTAAAGAAGTATAAGCCGGGCCCCGACTGCTCCTCCGGTCTGCGTGACAAACATAAGACAAAACAGGTGTGCTAATAAACTATGAACTTAAATTCTTAAGGGTTGTTAGAGATTCCCCCGCCCCAGTAGGCCCCTTTCAGAGAGCGGCTCCTTTAAGAGGCGGGCCCTATCTCCGCTAACAAAGGAAGTCCCCACCCCTGGTTGCCAGGGTGCTCTATGGCGTTGCATTCTCATTGGTGGGCGACGGTGAGTGAGGCGCCCAGAGACAGCCATTTCCAACGAGCTGGCGGGGGCGAAAGATGGCGACGCCCCTCGGGTGGTCGCAGGGGGGGTCAGGATCAGTGTGTCTCGCCTTCGATCAACTGCGGGACGTGATCGAATCTCAGGAGGAACTGATCCATCAGCTGAGGAACGTGGTACGCAGCCAGAAAAGCTGGGGTAGCGGCCAGACCTGACACCTAAATGGAGGGGGCGGGGCCAAACCCTGTCCCGAAGCCATTGGCGAGCTTAGAGCACCTTGCCAATGGCGTCATCAGGAGGAGGCGGGGCCCAGGTGTGTTCCAGGTGATAGGGGTGGAGCCAAAATGGGGCAAGGTCTTTATGAAGATTTACCAGGGAATTTAAATCAAAATCAAGTTGTTTTCTACTCTCTGGTTGTGTAAGGCCTGGTAGTTATGTCCCGGTCTATTCACCGAGCCTCACTTTCCCCATTTCTTTTTTTTTTTTAATTAATTTTTTTAAGATTTTATTTATTCATTTGAGACACAGAGATACAGAGAGAGAGAGAAAGCATGAGCAGGGAGAGAGACAGAAGGAGAGGGAAAAGCAGGCTCCTCGCTGAGCCAGGAGCCCGATGTGGGGCTCGATCCCAAGACCCTGGGATCATGACCTGAGCCGAAGGCAGACGCTTAACCATCTGAGCCACCCAGGCGCCCCACTTTCCCCATTTCTAATTGGAGAGGACTTCGTTGGCTTCCCAGGGCCCTCAGGTGCAGGCCTTGAAACTATAATATCTTTTCTATTGTGGACATCCCCTTCCCTGTGTCTAATGCAGCGCCATGCTGAGTGCAGTAAGCACAGGTTGTCCCTTACACATGTTAACTTAAGGGCTTCTGACCCCTTTATGTCCCTTTGCTTTTGCCTTCTCAAGCAAACCCTCGTTCGCGAGTTCAAAACATTGGAGCCACAGATTACCTGGCATGGTAAAATCCTGGCCAGTTGGAGTTTTCATGGTTTTTCCCTTTTTTTTTTTTATATATATATCTTGATAAGAAGGTTGTGAAATAGCTCCATCTCAGAAACAAAACTGACTTAACTATTTCTCACTCTAATGGGTGTGTGCAGCTCTAGGCACTGAATTACTTGCAATTCCCTGAGGGTACCCAGCTCTTTTTCTTCGAAGCTGGCATTTGCATGTGTGTTCTCACCCGAACACTTTTCTATCCCACCCCTTCTGGCCTGCCCCTGTTTAGCAGTCAGATGTCCTGTCCGATGATCCTTCTCTGGAAGCAATTCTGACCTTTCCCCAGGCCAGGGGCCTCCCCTGACCACCACAGCCCTTTGTGGTTCTCCATCATAGCACACACCATGTTAGAAGTGCTGGCCATGAGCTATCTCCTATATCAGACTGGTTGCTCCTTGAGGGTAGGACCTAGAGCTGAGCCTCTGTGAATCTTGTGGAACCAAATTCTCCCTTCTCAGAGCCGAAGTCTCATCCTAGGTGCCGTGGGTATCAGCCCACTGTCTAACCTTGCTCCTGGTCCCTAGAGAGTACCCCTCCCACTCCAGCCCCAGGCCCTCCCTGAGCCTGGCTCTGTTGCAGATGGTTCTCCAGGATGAAAATTTTGTCAGTAAGGAAGAGTTCCAGGCAGTGGAGAAGAAGCTGGTGGTAAGTAATGGACTCTGCAGGCTCCTAATCTTCCCCCATTTCCTGGGATCCCTGTGGATGGGCACAGTTACTGAGAGCCTCCAGCCCTAGTAGTGAGAACAGAATCTTCCTGGGTCCTGGCTTCCATGTGCCTCTTTGAGAAATAGAGCTGGTTAAGGGAACCGAGGAGACCCAGGGTGCCTTAGGGTTAATGAGGTCACTGCTGCTGCCCCTGCAGGAAGAGAAAGCTGCCCACGCCAAGACCAAGGTCCTCCTGGCCAAAGAAGAGGAGAAGTTGCAGTTTGCCCTCGGAGAGGTAGAGGTGCTATCTAAACAGCTGGAGCAAGAGAAGCTGGCTTTTGAGAAGGCGTGAGTGGACCTTGGTAGGGGGGTGAAGGGTTAGGGGTCCAGTCTGCCTGTCAGCCTTCCCACCCTTTCTTATCTTCTCCACCCAGGCTCTCCAGTGTCAAGAGCAGAGCCCTGCAGGAATCCAGCAAGAAGGACCAGCTCATCACCAAGTGCAATGGTAGGCGGGAGGCCCGTGCCCCCCCCCACGCTTACATGCATGGGCTCTTCCCTAACAGCCCAGTGCCTGTGTCCAGGGCAGGGTTTCACCCCAACTTCTGCCCCCGGCTGAGGATACAGGCAGGCCCAGGCGGGCCACACCTTCGCAAAGGCCTTCAGGGACCAGGCAGGCCACGGAAATGAGGGAAGCATTTGGTGTACAATATTCTTCATGGCCATAAAAGAACGGGCTTGCTCCCATTTTTCTTGAAACATACAACCTTCTTAGTCCACCTTTTGTTTTCCCACTTTTGATGGGTATTAGAAATAGTGTACTTGACTCATAACTGTTGTAAGAGGAACAACAGGGCAAGTTCAGTCCTGTTTGGGAGCTGACCCCTAGTGCCAGGGTTGGGGACCCAACAGGGAGGAGTGGGGACCGTGGTGATGGGAAGAGCCATGCCACCTCTCAAGGGCTTAGTGCCTCTGCCGTGGGAATGGAGGCCCAGTATTGTCAGATCCTTTTTTTTGTTTTTTAACAAAAACTTTTCTGACTTTTTAGTGTTGGCAACTGATTTAGAAATTTTAAAACTATTGTATGGGCTGAGTAGAATATGTCTGTAGGCCATTAATTTTCATCTCTGCTCTGTGCCAGATGTCTGTGGCCACTTGTTGGCTCAGTTGGTGCTGTGAGTTTGGGGGCACTTTCTGTCAGCCATCCAGTGGCCCTAGATCTTAGGACCCCCTTTTTAGTTCCCCAGGACACTAAATTCCCTTTACCTATTCATATCTATTAAGAAATAGATATGAATTCCATATGTAACCTGCTTCATGCATTGCAGCCAATTTTGAGTAGGCCAAAGACCAGAGCCCAAGTCCAAAAGAGATTCAGGGTCCCTCCTGATGGGCTGCCACCTGGAGTCTTGGGCACCCCATACCCATCAATCCAGCCCTCTGTCTCCCTTGGTGAGTACTCTCACTGGTAAGATGCCAGCAGGCTGATGTCTTGATCTGACTAGGTGGGCTGACAGGCCCCATGGCTGTTTGATCAAGGGCTCCCATTGGGGCCCCCTGGGGCTCAACCTGTAGTCACTGCCTCCATACCCAAGGCCACTGGACCTCAGTCCTTCCTCCCTCTCTACCTATCCACCCCCCATTTCCCTAAAAGGAACGTAGACTTCTTTCCTGGTGGTGCCAGAGCATTTCCTAGAGATTAGTCAAGGCCAGAGGGCTCTGCTTGTGCAAGGTGCATGTGTGTATGCGATGGGGATGGAACATGGCTGCCTCCCCGCAGAATGTCCCAAACCCCTCTATTGGGACACAAGCCTGAGCAAATGTCATGACCTGAGCCTTCCCTGGCCTGTGCCCTCCCTACCCTCCAACCTCCCTTTATGTGGGTTTAGTTTGGTTTTTACACTTACAAAGTTTCTGATTTTTCTCAAAGGGATTTTCTAACCATTCTCTCATTAGGTGCTATTTATTTTAAATTTATCTCTCATTTGTTTTAAAAGATTCATATAAATTTCTGATGCCTTTTCCCAAAAGAACTTCACAATCAATCAATCTGGGTGACCTTGGGAAGAAGGTTCAACAATCCTGGTTCTGTGACCCACATAGCTCATTTTCATTCTCTCCCTTCCCCTATGTCTTTGTTTGTCTCCTCTTTTCTTTGCTGTGCCTTAACTTTTTACCAAGTCTTTTCTTCTGAAACCTTCAATGCTTCAGCATTTCTGCATTTTTAGAGTTTGTGTTCTAGTCAATGTTCATCCAGTCTTTAAAGGCAATGGGATCAGAATTTTCCAGGGCTCCTCAAGGAACAGTTCATATAAATGAAGCACCCTCTAGATCCCTACAGCCTCTTTCAATTTTGATACAAGACACAAAAATCATCCTTGCGTCTAATGAGCACTTAATGTGGGGGTAAGCTTTGCCACCACTATCTCCCTGGGTGCTCCTCACGCCCCTGTGGAACAGGGGCTGTCCCCGTCCCCATTACAGATGAGGAATCGGGTCTAGAAAAGGAGGCAACTTGCCCAAAGTGGTAATACTGTCTCATCAATATTAACGCTGTTGAAACATTGCCTTGTTCTGTGTTCTGGTCAGTTTCGGAGTCTTAACTGTCTTTCAGGAGCTGCCTCCTTGAGGGTAGGGACCCTGTCTTCTCCCCTGAAGCCCTAGCACAGGGCTGGGCATCCAACTGGCCCTTAGTAGGTCTGCTGGGATTGAGATGACTGAATGAACTAAGTGATATTTCTAAGTCCTAAACCCCCAGAGGCTATCCTGTTCATTCACTCCACAAATAAATTTGTTGGGCACCTTCTATATGCCACGTACTATTTTAGACCTTAGGGTTAAAGCAGTAAATGTAAAAAATCTTTATCCTTATGCATTTATGGATATAAATCCCAGTAGGGAAGAAGACAAGTGAGTAAAATATATGGTGTGTTAGCTATAAGGGCTAAGAAAAAGAAAGCAGGGATAGGAACTATTAAGAGGGGATGTACTTTTAGATTGGGAGGGGTCTTGCCAAGGAGGTCATATCTGTACAGATCGGCAGGAATTAAGGGCAGGAGCCGTTCATCCTCCTGCCTTTGGGCAGCACTGTCCACCTCTCTGCAAGGCCCTTCGTCTGCCCTCATGTGGGTCACCTGGTCCAGAATAGAATTGTGAAATCACTGACACATCATCAGACATTGCGCCCCTCAGCCACCAGCCTGTCACAACTCCATAATAAACTCATTCTTACTAAGGTGTTAGCAGCTACTCGTGGAGAACCCCTGGGTGGGGGGAGCCAAGTTCTTAAAAGACCTGTAAGGGAATGAATGCCTTATCTCAGGAAGGAGCCCTTGGGATGGGAACCACCCCTCCTCCCTGCCTCTCTCCCCCACAGAAATTGAGTCTCACATTATAAAGCAAGAAGATATACTTAATGGCAAAGAGAATGAGATTAAGGAGTTGCAGCAAGTTATCAGCCAGCAGAAACAGATCTTCAGGTGAGGGGTCTGGGCCAGGCTGGGGGTTGTTGATGGAAGTGGGGAGCCAGCTCTCTGGCCCCTACCCTACGCTGCCCCCAGCCCATGCCCAGCCGGCTCCGTTGCAGGAATCACATGTCTGACTACCGGATCCAGAAGCAGCAGGAGAACTACATGGCCCAAGTGCTGGACCAGAAGCATAAGAAAGCCTCGGGGACGCGTCAGGCCCGGAGCCACCAGCGTCCCAGGGAAAAATAAAATGGTCGTCGCCTTCCTGTTCACTGGCTGTAATGCCCGACCTCTGCCTTCTCTGCTGTGGGGGTCCCCATCCCTATCCTTCCTATCCCTGTGGGTCCCGGCCTCTGCCATCACAGGCCTCACCAGTGACCTGATTCCCAGGGAAGAGGCAGGGGAAGAAGCAGAAGGTGCTCTTTTTTTTTCCTTCCTGCCTGTCTCCTGGAGGGCCTTGGTGACAGAAGGGAGAATCAAGTTACCAAGGACTGGGTCAGGGACAGGCCTTGGACCACCACCTTCCAGGCCACTCCTGAGCTCAGAAAAGGATGATGCTCAAGTCTCCAGCCCCTGCCACTTCCTTCCCTCCCTTGGGTGGTAGGGGGAGGGGAAGCGTGGGGGTGTAGCCTAGGGGAGGACTACTTTGTTGTCTAATAGGCACTGTCCTTCCTACTCTTGGTATTTAATCCCCTCCCTATGTAAACAGCTCTGGTTACCCCTGGTTACCTGTAAACACCCCACCCCACTCCCAGCGCCCTGGTAAATTTAACTCTCCCAACTTGGCTATAGAGCAGGAAGGGCTGTGTGTGTGTGTGTGGGTGTGGTTGTGGGTGTGGGTGTGAGAGAGAGAGAGAAGCCCTGACCAGAGACATCAAAGTCGGTTCCAGGCCCACAGTGAATTTGGGAAATCCATTTCCATCATATAACAAGACTGGTAAACCTGTGAATCACACTTGTACCCTCTTACACTTCCCCCAAACAGAGGCTCGACTGACTCTTCACAAGGGGAAGGAAGGGAAAAGGACAATGCTCTGTCTATTTTTAATTTGGGAGAACAGTCTCTGAAGGGGCAATGACTTGCTAAGTTTACATATGCAGGGCTAGATGATGGGCAGGTTTGATCCTTTCACAAGGCATCACTGATGGCTAGGTGATGATGGGGACACACCCAGGCAGGAGACCCACTGGGAGGCTGAGTCAGATTTGTGAAGTCTAGCCTAACCTGGGTCAGTGTGAGGGTGAGTGCACGGGAGAGGGGGAGGTGCTGGTGCTTTTGCTCTAAGGGCCAGCCAGGGCCTGAATCATAGCAGGAACTTGAAGCCAGAAGTTTAAAGGCAAATGGTGCCCACTGTCATTATCCCAGGACAGTGACAGGTGGTGGCTGCTTCCCCACCAGTGCCTGTCCCCAGGGTGAGTCCTGAGTTGGTGGGGGCTGGAGTGAGGGCCTTGCAAGTGCCTGGGGGAGCACAGAGCTCTTTCTGCCTCAGAGGGGCTTTAGAGAGGGGGCTACAGTTACCCCAAAGGGTCCTAAGAGACCCCACATCAGCATCTAGGGCTTGTTCTAGGTACCAAGGCCATCTGTAAAAGTTACAGCTATCCACTCCAGCCCCTTCCAGTATGTTCCCACTAAAGGCAATGGGTCCAGCAAGGGACAGCACCTTCCTGAGGCCCTAGCACTTCTGGATTTGGGGGAGCCCTCCAAGCAATGCTCCTCCATCAAATATTGTGGGGTGATGGGTCAAAGAAAGTGGTGAGTGCACCCTTATGAACTCTAGCTGGGACAAGTGATGAGAGGGCCAGGGAGAAGGGGTGCACTGGGGTGATGGGAAGACACTGGGGACTAAGGGGAAGATGAAATTGCTCAGAAGACCTGAGTTGCCCGACCCAAAAGTGTGGTCCTGGTTCCCTGGCTCCCATTCTGATCCACACACCACGGTGCTTGACCTCAGGCAGGTGGTCCCTGCTCAGCCTGTTTCCTAGCCTGTGAAGAGCAGAGTTAGGCCTAGCTCCTGGCTTCCAACTGGACACCTGCCCATCCCTCACCTTCCTGTCAGCCGAGGCTGGAGAGCCCTCCTAGGCCTCTGGCCCGCACCAGAGAAGAAGGTTAGAAAAGCGAAGCCCAGGGCCCAAGGCTGTCCCGTTGGCGACGCCACCGATTCGCGAGCGGACGCGGCCGCGGCCGCTTTAAGGCGCGGTGACCCCACGACATCTGCGGGCGGGGCGGGGACAGTGCGGGCGTCCGCGGCACCGGCGGAGGCGAACGCGAGGGAGGTAGTGCGCGGCGTCCAGCCCCACCATGCTGACCGCGCTCGCCCGGCCAGCCCTGCCCGGCCTCCCAGGGCAGCTGCCTGCGGCCCCCGCCCGGCGTCAGGACTCCTCCGGTTCGTCAGGCTCCTACCACACGGCTCCGGGTTCTCCAGAGCCCCCGGACGCTGGGCCGGACGCGGAGTGCCGGGCGAATTGGCCCGGGGTGGCCCCTGCGCTGGGGGCGGGCGCGCAGCCTCGCCTGTCCGTCAGCGCCCAGAATAGCCGCCAGCAGCTCGGGCCCGGCTCGGGTTTCCCGCGAGGCCCGGGCTCCCGCCCGCGGCCACCCCAGCCCCAGCTGCGCATGCTGCCGTCGGGGGAGATGGAAGTCATCTTCGGCGCCGGGGCTCTGTTCAGCCGCTCGGACGCGGCGGATAGCGAGGTGCAACAACTCACCAAGCGGGCTTTCCGCAGCCTCTCTCCGCCCGGGCCCCCGACTCCGGCTCCCGCCACACCGACGCCCCAGACCCCCGACGGTGGCTCCCGCTGGGCCACTTACCTGGAGCTGCGGCCCCGCGGGCCGAGTCCTGGGACCCCAGCGCAGTTCGAGTGTGTGGAGGTGGCGCTGGAGGAGCGCGACGCGCCCGCTAGGACCCGGACGGTGCCCAAGCGTCAGATCGAGCTGCGCCCCCGGCCCCGGAGTCCGCCGCGGGAGGCGGGAGCACCGCGCCCCCGACTGCTTCTGCGCACTGGCTCCCTGGACGAGTCGCTGGGCCGCCTGCAGGAAGCCGCGGGCCTAGTGCAGACAGCACTGGCCAGAAAACTGAGCCCTGCGGCCCCTGCCCCGGGCAGCGCCACCTTCGGGCCCACGGGGCGGCCAGAGTGTGCGACTCGGGAAACGGCCCGCAGTACCCGAAAGGTCCTGGAGGAGGCCAGGTCTCGGCCACCCCGCGTGCACTATAGTTCAGCCCCCACCAGAGCACCACGGCCGTGGCCCAGCCTCCGAGAGCGCGCGATTCGGCGCGACAAGCCCGCGCCGGGGACCGAGCCGCTGGGTCCGGTTAGTTCCAGCATCTTCCTGCAGTCAGGGGAGAAGACTCGGGAGGCTCACAGTCAGGAACTCAAGACTCGGTTCCCGCGAGAGACTCCGGATCGAACCGTCCTGAGGGCACAAAGTCCGCCTTTCGAGTCTACGGCCCCCCGGGAAGTTCCGAGTAAGGCTGGGAGGCCAAGGAGCTCGTCCCCGCTGTGGCAGGCTCCAAATGGGACGATACGAGGTCCACACTGCCCGTGCCCCCAGAATCTGCCCCCGTGGAATCGGGCTATTCGGAGGGTAAGTAGCCCGTCGTTCCCTGAGGCATCATCTGCACGGGGAAATCAGGACGCCGCTGTTGAGGAAACTGTCCGCAGAAGCCCTTCCCCACCGACCCTTCCCCAGTGGAATCACGGTGTTGCCAGGACAAGAAGCCCATCCCCCGAAGCTCCTTCCCTATCGGAGGTTCGGCAACCTGCAGTTAGGAATGCCACAGCGAGCTGTAGGAACCCGTCCCCGCCGGCCCTGTCCTCATGGGAGGCACCAGATCGTACTAATGGGACGTGGAACCCATCTCCCCAAGGGACGTGGGATCGCACACTGCAGGGCTCATCGATGGTATCTGCGTCGGAAGCTCTGAACGGGATAGGACAAGAGGAGCTCGAGCTGCCTGGGCCGTCCGCAGCCGGGACTCCCGAGCTCACAGAGGCGCCGAGGCAGTCCACGCGGCAGAGGCGGGATCTTGCCTTCCGGGGCAGTCAGCCGTCGCCAGAAGTGGCTGCACCTGAGCTGCGCCTCAGTCGCCCCGTGGGTACCCTGGAGGCCGATGTGCACCGGGAAGCCTTGGGCCCGGGAGAAGCCGCCTCCGGACGGCCGCGCGTGGCCATCCCGCGGCCCCGCGACGTGCGCAAGATGGTGAAGACCACGTACGCGCCAAGCTTCTCCGCGGGAACCCCAGCCTTGGGGCGGCCTGTGCCTCCTGCGGAACCCCGCGGGGAGGAGGGCGGCGCATCCAAGACACAAGAGTTCCAGGCGCTGGGGTCCCCAGCCCCAGCTCACTACACTTCTGTTTATCTCAAGGACTTTCTTCCGGTTGTGACGCACCCCTACGAGCCCCCAGAGCCGCCTCCTGACCCAGTCCCCCGGGACGCTTCTCAGCCCAATGGGGTCCTGAGGCGGAGAGCAGAGAACAGCACGGCAAAACCCTTCGCGCGCACTGAGATCCGCCTGCCTGGTGCACTGGTCTTGGGCCGCCGGCCAGAGGGAGCCGGGGGAGTTCTGGCGCGCGGTGCTGGCAGAGAGAACCGGGACGCTGAGGCCCAGGGCCTGGTCCCCGACGGCGAGGGGCGGAACAGCCCTCCAGGCGGCGCTCGCACCTCACCCCAGCAGTCGCCCATCGGGCCGGCCGGGCCCCAACCGCCCCGACCACCCTGCCCCAGCTCCCCTCAGGCGCACCCTAGCTCGAGCCCTGGGATAGCACCCAAATTGGAGGCTCCCCCTGTAGCCCTCGAGCCTGCGACTGAGGTCCGGTCGTCTGTCCCGCGGGAGCCCCAGGCGTCGGCCCGCAGAACAGCCCCGCCCCAGCCCCGTGCCGCCTCGGCGCCTCCGATGGACCGGTCCCCCGAAGGTTCCTTCCAGGGGGCGCGCAGGCCACCTGGGACCGCGTACGCTGGGAAGGTCCTGGTGGACCCCGAGAGCGGCCGCTACTACTTTGTGGAGGCGCCGCGGCAGCCTCGGCTACGGCTGCTCTTCGACCCCGAAAGCGGGCAATACGTAGAGGTGCTGCTGCCGCCGTCGCCCCCGGGGCCACCCCGCCGCGTCTACACCCCGCTAGCCCTGGGCTCTGGCCTCTACCCGCCCGCCTATGGGCCTATCCCGGGCCTCTCAATGCCGCCGTCCCCCGGCCCACAGGCCTTCAGCGGCCCCCATGTACCCTGGGCCTCCGAGGCGGGGCCCCTGGACGGGATGTACTACCTGCCAGTGAGTGGAACCCTCAGCCCCG